TTAAAAAAAAAATCACTCTTAACATAAGCAGAATTGTTCATGCGGCTGAGTTCTTTTTAACTTTTGCTGAAATAAGTATACATTTTTTTTAGCCTTTACAATACTTGCTGTTAATTTTGTATATTCACTATGTATTCAATTATATTAATAACTAAGTCATAAAAGTAATTTATTGATATATCATATTTAATTATGTCAAACCTAATCCTTCAGCTCAGATGAGAGGTGATGTAATATGGCAGTTATGAGTTTAAGCCAGAATACAAATCCTTTTATTTGATTACCTTTCTGCTTCTCAGTTCTCTCAAATGTGTCTGGTAGAGAGATTTATGTTGGCAGTGATTTTCATTAATAAAATGAGTGTTATTAATGCCCATGGTGGGCAGGCATTCAATGAGTTTTGGCAAACCTAACGCACAAACCTAACGCATTCTGAAATTTAATCAGAATGATAAAAATTAGGGTTCTGCATCCCAGGAATTATTCATCTGTAAACCATCTCCTTAGGCCTTATTCATCTGCTAAGGATTCTATCCTGCCATGGAAGTGCATGCTATGCCAAGAGTCAATATGTTTAGATGGTGCCTGCAATAGTGTTCTAACTCTCATCTGACTGCTTTCTTTTCTCTGGATCTCCCCAGAGGCTGCAGTTCCCCTCAAATGATCATGTGAAAGTAGAGAGTGACTGAGAAAGACAGGCTGCCCTACACTATAGACAAGCTCAAAGGTCACTGGGCCTTTGTCAATGGATTTGTGTGTGTGTGGGCGGGAGGTGGGGTGGGGTGGGGGAGTACCTGGCATGGGTGAGGAGCAATTATAATAGATGCTATAGCCCTCCCATGAGATGTTTGTTGGCAGCTTGCTGTGCCAGTTCTTAACTCTTAGACGCTATATAAAGGGTTATTCCGGGAGGTCCCATGGAAGGTGCTGAAGCATTAGGAGGGAACTCAATGGGCTTGGGGCAGTAACTATTCAACTACTATGGACATATATCAATATTTTAACAACTGGTACAGCTGAACCAATGTGTACTAGCCGAATATCAGGCTTGAATGCAGTATTCTACATATGCTCTTCAGAGCAAGATTTTAAGTGGTGTTGAATATATCTCGTGTATCTTTATGTTTATATTTAACTGAGGAACACTATGATGTATATATTTTAAATCAAAATTGATTCAAGTTCAGAATTGTTTTATCTTCCAGGTGAATTAAGTTTTTATTATTTTGACATGACCTAATATTTCTAGTAATTTTTTGCCTTAAAGCCTATTTTGTATATTAATATAGCTTATCAGCTTTTTGTTTAAAATGTTTCAATAATCTTTGCCTATTCTTTTGAATGTTTAGTGCTTCTATATTTATTATAATTAGTAATATATGGATTTATTTTCAGCCATTCATTGTGCTTTTTATTTATATTATTAAACTTTTCTATTTTTTTCCCCTTTCTTCTTTTGGAATTCTTTTCCTTATTCCATATTTTTCCTCTACTAGTCTATAAATAATATATTCTTTCTTGTCTTTTGGTGGTTATCTTGCAAATTTTAATATGTATACTAAACTTATTAAAGCCTACAGTTAATATATCATAATTCTCCCTCAAAAAAATCTAAAGAAATTTAGAACATCTCTTCATAATTTATATGCTATTATTGTCTTCTATTTTGGTTCCATCTCTGTTAATCCCAAAAGGCAAAATTAGTTTTACATACATATTTTCCATTTTCTTTCTTCTTCATTCCTTCTAGCATCTCAGATCTCCCATCTGAAAACATTTTCTTTTCTTTGAACTCAGAATTCTGTTATTGAAGGTCTGGTAGCAAACTCCTCAGCTTTGATTGAATATGTATTTATTTCATCTTTGTTTTTGAGAACAAAGAACCCATCTTTGCTGAGTAATAGATATCTAGATTAGCAGTTATTTTTCCTCTGACATTGTCCTCTGATTTACACTATTATTAATGACTAATTGGCTATCACAATGATCATGGTTACTTCTTTGAAGGTCTTTTTTTCTGTAGCTTTTAAGATTTTATATTTGTCATCATGCAGTTTCACTATGTGTCTAGGGAAGATTCCTACTTGGGGGGTGTTGGGCTTCTTAAATCATGGCTTAGTACTTTTTCTTAATTCTGGAACGTTTTCAGCTATTGTCTCTTCAAATAGGTTTTTTGCCTCCCTATTTACCTCATTTTCTTCAGGAACTGACCAAATATATGGTACACTTTTTCTCTCTATGCTTCATGTCACCAAACCCTTGCATTTTCAATTTCTGTGTCTCTCATCTGTTTTCTGGATAATTTCTTCACTTCTATTTTCCAACACATTTATTCTCTCCTCAGCAGTGCCTAATATGCTCTTATAAAGGAATTGCTTGAGAATGGTGATACACTTATTCTGACAATGTTGCTATTGCTTAAAACATTTTTGGAATTTTTTTAGAAATTATCTTCTAATTCATGTGTCCTTTCATTTTTTTTTTTTTTTTTAGGGCAAATTCTTTCTATTCTGGTCTCTATTAAATTCATAATTTTAATTCTTACCTTCAGTGTCACTCCTCCTCTCTACTGAGAAGTCCTTGTGACAATGGTTATGGTACCCAGTAAAGTTGATTTAACTCATATATAATTGAAGGATATGAGAAATTATTTCATTTAGCAAAGATATGTAATTTTTTTCTAAGAAATTACTTTAAATCTTATAAAAATTTTAGGTATATTAGTAGATGTAGCAAGATATTAAAAAATTAAGACATTCAACTATTTTCACTTATCACCTTAGCACAGATGAAAAAGAATGGCAATGTGCAATGTTGGCAAGCATATAGGGAGACAGGCACTTTCATATGTATCTGATAGGAATGAGAATTGGTCCAGTCTTCACAGAAGACAACTTAATAGGTATCCAAAATCTTCATAATCTTTAATTCATTTCAGGGATTTATCATAAGGACATAAATCTAAAATATTTGTTTATAGAGGTTTTATTTAAACTAATGAAAAAATTTAAATAATGTTGCAGAAATATATTTATTAACATAGGTAATTCACAATATAGTATATGAAAAAAAGCAGGCTACAAAACAGCATGATTCCACGTTTATATTAAATTAACATATACAAAGAAAAAATTTTCTTGGATATCCAGTTAATCTCTGAAATCATAAGTTTTGTTTAGCTTCTTTTTGTTCATTTGTTGCCTATGTTTTCTATAATGAGTATTTATTAACTGGGTAATTAAACATTATTGAATTATTTTAAGTATTAGAGTACCTAACCACCTTTTACAAAAAATGTTTCTATGGGAAAATGTAGTACAGATCGAAAAGAACTATCAGTAATATATTCCTCACTCTAATATCAGTGGCAATGGAATTCCTTCTTCATAACTCATTCTATTCCTCTCATCCTCTACCTAAAATGCCACCTTCAAAGAATAGAAACAGCTACTTCTGAAGGCCTGACAATAGGTAGGAGGTAGGGAGGAGAGGAGCTGGGATATGGAGAAGAGAGGAACTGAATATTTATGAAGAATAATTGATATTTTGGAAGGACCTTGGTTGGAGGAAGGAGAGAGGAGAGGAGGTTCCATGAATAAACTTCAGCAAAATAGTTTCTCCTCTCACCAATTCTCCCTGTACTCAGGTGCACATTGATTGCTACAAGTCCCACCCAACTGCTATAAGGAGCAGCCCAGAGATCTCAGCACCAAGTGTAAGTAGGAAGAAGCATTTGCATCAGTGAAATGGAGTAGGGTGTATCTGCTCACAATGATTCCAGATTCTGTTGCTTTGTTCCTTCCTTAGCATATTTTAGGTCTTTCTTTAGCAAAATTTTTTGTTTTAACCTATTGTCTTTCAGCTTCTCTGACACAATATGCTGCCTCTCCAGCCACAGGTCTTTTGACATACAAGTTCCTCTATAGGAAATACTTCTATCCCCTCCCCAACCCTATCTTGACTAACTCATTTTCTACTCATTTTTCTGATCTTCTTTAAGTGTCACTTCCTCAGAGAAACCTCAAACATCCTATTCCACAACGAGCTCCTTCAAGACTTTATCTCAATTTGTAAATACACATAATGAATTATTTAGTATGGTTATTGATATTTAGTTGAACGAACTGGTTCCAAGCTCAATAAAAGCGGTGCCATTAGCTGGTTTTGCTCACCACTGCAACCTCCACATCTGGAACATATAAGTGCTCAATAATTATTTGCTGAATCCTCCAGGGAATGTGAATGAATGAACAACTAAGCAAATGACTAGGAATCCAGAAACCTTGATCGGGTAAGTCGTCTCAAGGTGGAACTGCGTGTAATTTTTTCTTTGATTGCTGTTAAACTTGGTGTACTCACAATACAAAGTTTTAAAAGCATATTATTTTGAAAACTGGCCCAAAGTAAACTGAGGCCAAACATGAAATATTGAATCAGCCAGGAAAAAGGCCGGATCCCCTTAACAGAAACATGTAGTCTAGCCTGGTAACTTCACAAATGCTCCATATCATAAGACACCTCTCTGCCGTGTCTTAGCATCTTACTGGAGCAAAGGAATGCACCCCTTTCCTCTCAGGGCAAGTCCGGCACAAGGTACAGGCATCATCTGCAGGCTCCTTACCCTTGACACAATCTTAGGTGAGAAAAACGCAAGCCAAGGGTGACAGGGAAAGAATGGGCATTTATTCGGTTATTTACTGAACATCTACTGTGTGCCATAAGACCCTACTTCTGGACTGGCTCTGACAGACCTGCCGTGTGGGCATTAGGCATTTACCCTTGACAGAGACTGGGCGACCTGAAGGTTAGCAAATGAGGCCCGGGGCAGCCTATCTCAAAGGTCCGTATGGGGCCTCTGACAGCGACAGAGCACTTCAGAAAGCGCCAGGGGCATGAAGACCAGCGGCCCCAAACGGACTCGCACACCCCTGCCCCGGCAGAGCGAGCGAGCTCTGGGCAGCCGCCCACGGGCAGCCGAGCCAGGCGGAGGCGGGCACCCGCCCTCCGAGGGGCCGCGCTTACCCGTCGGGCGAGTACTCGAGGTTGAAGACGGCACCGTGGGTACGGGTGCTGAGGTACACCGAGTCCGCAGGATGGATGGAACCATAGAGGTTAGTCATGGTGCGGAAATTGTCCCGCGCCGGGTCCACGAACAGCCCGCGGCCCAGGCTGCGCTCTCTCAGCCACCCGAACAGTCTGGCGCCAGGGCCGCCCAGGCAAGTGCTGAGACCGTGCCGGCCTCGGCTCCCGGCCCTGCAGTCTGGCCCGTGTCGCCGGCGCGTCGGGGAGGGCGGTGACAGCTTTCCCTGGGCGGAAGCAGCTGAGGACTCCAGAGCTCCGGGCGGCCCGAGCTCCCCGGCGCGTGCGGCCTGGGGTAGCGATGGGCCGCCGGGGCGGCGGGG